TATTTAATTACTAAAATTATACATATGTGTATTTCTAAAAGTATTAAATCAACAATTGTAGCAAAAATAATTCGACATAGTATGCGTCGAATAAATAGAAAACCAGTATTTTTTGGTAAATAAAATCCGTTTACTTTTAGAAACAATCCGAAAAGAAATCATGTTTTTGTAATAATGTTACATTTGGTGTCGATCAGTACTTTCTTCTACGTAAAATGTTTCTTTTATAACTATCATCCGACTGTATGAAAATTCTGATAATGAAACAAATCGCAAATGGTAAATATAATTATAGGATGTTAATATAATTTTATAGTACACAAATTAAAAAGCCTTTATATGTTGTGCAATATAAAAATAATTGTTTATTTATCTATTGAAATGATTCGGTATTCTTCCTACAGTTGTTGGAATATACGTTGTTAAATTTTTCGGTGCTCGGAAATAGTTGCACATTTTGGATCGACTTTTGAAGCATCGCCTTCTTTTTCCCCGTTATTATCGCTCGCCGGCTGAACCGTGCACGGACGTGTACGTAGGCTGCTGGAAAAGTTTCTGCAATCAAGTACTTCTAGTAGCGCCAACGTTCTGCTACTATCATATCCGTAACATTAGACGTTTTTAACCTATAATTCAATTGACAGTTTGTACCCAAGCTTGTTTGTATAGTATTTTAAAAGAAGTTATTTTGTAAGAAAATGGGAAATTTCGCGTGAAAATTTTCGGGCAATGATTTGTTACGATTATAAATGTAATCTAATTCCGAAACAATGCATCGATCGACTTCATTTGACTTTTGGGGATAATGCATCATTCAATAGGACTGTTTATAATTGGTTTGCCAAATTCTAGCGTGGGTGTACCTTTCTTAGTGAAGAATTCCGTAAAGGTCGTCCATCCACATCTATTGTTGCCACTAATGTTGATGCTGTACGTGAAATGATTGAGCGAGACCGGCATATAATATACCGTGAGATTCAGGCATCCTTAGGCATTGACATGAAAGCAATACATACGATTTTGCATGATCACTTGAGCGTATGGAAACTTTGCAGTCTTGGATCCCATACAATTTGATCGAAGCTCAAAAACAGCGTTAAATGGAATAAAGAAATGCTCAAGAAATTCAACCGAGGTCGGTCAAATTTGGTCTACAACATCGTTACTGGGGACAACATGGATGTATTCGCTCTATGAGCGAAAGTAAACAACAATCCACTGTTTGGGTATTTCAAAATGAACCGAAACCAACAAAAGTTATTCGTTCACGCAATGCTGCCAAGCAAATAATTGCTTGTTTCTTCGGTTATACCATGTGACAACCGTGGCTTTAGAGAATCGAAGGACTGTAAATATTGATTGGTGTACAACAATTTGTTTACCAGAAGTCATAAATGAATTGCGTAGAACAAACCGTCGCATCATCCTTCATCATGACAATGTCAGCTGTCACAAAGCACGTCAAACCGTTGATTTTTTATCCAGTAATAATGTCGAACTGATGACTCATTGTCGGTATTCATCTGATTTATCATCTAATAACTTTCTTTTTGTCCCAAACATTAAAAATAAGATGCGTGGTGAGCGATTTGAGTCGCCTGAAGCAGTTGTTGAAACATTTCGTACACAGGCTGAGGTTACAGCCTTAGAGTGGAAAAAATGCTTCGAAAATTGGTCCGAGCGTATGCAAAAATGTATCGATCTTAAAGGCGAATACTTAAACAAATAAAATCATTTCCCGAATTTTACATATTTTTTTCATATTGTTTGCAGAAACTTTTCCAGCAGCCTACGTATCTCAGCAGCGTTTGCATAAAAAATATGCTGTGACTGTACCTTCCAGCAAATTATCAATTCTTTACTTTCTTTCCTACATAATTATAATTTTCTTTATTAAATCAAAGTTTTTATTAAAATATATATATATATATATATTG